TCACCGCAATTTTCTCTCTGCCACAGCGGATCACGTGTCCCACCTGGAGAACGTCTCGGAGGAGGAGATCAACCGGTTGCTGGGTATGGTGGTGGACGTGGAAAACCTCTTCATGTCGGTGCACAAGGAGGAGGACACGGACACCAAGCAGGTGTATTTCTACCTGTTCAAGGTGCGTCTGGGGCTGGGCATGTTGCGCAGGGGTCCCTCAGCATCGCTGGGCCGCTGGGGCTGCTGTCGGCTGCTGTCCCGCTGCTCGTCCTCTGCCTGCTCTGCTGGGAGCTGTGGTCTGTGGCTCTGAGCCATCCCACCAGCCCAGCCGGAGGCCTGAAACGCCGACGCTGTCCTGGGAGCCACTGCTCTCCTGGCCTTGAATTCCTCTGGGAGGGAGGTTTCCAGGGAAGAAACGGGCATGTTCCGAGGTGGACCCTGGCACCTTCCTGGCTGTGTAAATCGGTGCCGCAGCAGCGTTCTGCCACTTCCTCTGCTCATGGTGTGCCTGGTCTTGGGACCTCGGTCCGTAACCGTGTCCGACGGTCTTTTAGCAGCTACTGCGGAAGTGCATCCTGCAGATGAGCCAGCCTGTGGTCGAGGGGTCCCTGGGGAGCCCCCCCTTCGAGAAACCAAACATTGAGCAGGTGAGGCAGCTGTCAGGCTCACGTGTTGCACTGATGGCTTGTCCTGTGTTTCGCTGTTCTTGCATGGTCTCCTCCCTCTTTGGGGGGCAGCAACTGAAGGGTCTGGCGCAGCACCCAGTGCCCCTCCATCACCCCTTCCTCTCCCCAGGGAGTCCTGAACTTCGTCCAGTACAAGTTCAGCCACTTGCCGCCCAAGGAGCGGCAGACCATGTACGAGCTCTCCAAGATGTTCCTGCTCTGCCTCAACTACTGGAAGCTGGAGACGCCGTCCCAGTTCCGGCAGCGCTCCCAGAACGACGATGTGGCCACCTACAAGGTCAACTACACGAGGTGAGGGCGGGTGGAGCCAGCCAGCCTGGGGGTCTGCCCGCTCCTCCCACCCCTGCGTGGGGCTGACCCCTGACTCCTGGGGTCTTCGCCTCTTCCCAGCTCTCCTCGTCCCCGCTCCCAGCAGCGTATTCCCCAGAGGGATGCGGATGCTCTGGGGTTGTGCGTCCCAGCCCCGTCACTGGAGCGTGTTCTTGTCTCCTAGGTGGCTGTGCTACTGCCACGTGCCGCAGAGCTGCGACAGCCTTCCCCGCTATGAGACCACTCACGTCTTCGGGCGCAGCCTCCTGAAATCCATCTTCACGGTCACCCGCCGGCAGCTGCTGGAGAAGTTCCGGGTGGGGAAGGACAAGCCGGGGCCGGGGAACGGCGAC